CTCTCTCTCTCTCTCTCTCTCTCTCTCTCTCTCTCACACACACACACACACACACTCGTTCTTGCCATTGGTCTTTCTGCCACCTCATCTAGCACGCTTCTGAGAAGAGGGACAGATAGATCTTGTTGAAGGTGTAAAGGAATTGCTTGCAGAGGCTTTTGAAATTAGGTTGAAGGTTTTCCATTTCTGCTAGGAACAGTTCAGATGTTGGTCAACCCAAGGTGTGAGACCAAGGCAAACCAGAATGTTTTTGTGCAACAGGACTTCCTTTCCCCTTTCCCCACTTTTTCCAGTGCATAGTAACTGCTGTGAGACATCCTATTCTCAGACCTCTTGCTGGAAGGATGAACAGTCCTGTTTCCTTAAGGTCTGGCATCTGCAATGATATAAGGGCTCAACTCCCCAAATTTTGTCATTAAAAATTGAAAGCAGTGCTCCCTAAACTTTACACTTGGCAAAAATAAAAAAAATAAAAACATCTGCAGCAAAGTGACAACTTCTGAGCCCAAAATGTTGAATCTTGCACATATCTGGACAATCATGCTTGACCTCATCCTGGGCTCTGAGTTTCATGGGGCCCATTACATTTTTGAACCCATGCTCATAGGATCTACAAACATGTATGGACTGATGTAGCAGCAGAGTTGAGCCTTTAGGGTGAGAGATGGGAGGACTTAATCCTCTCACCCCAGAAATCCCCGCCCTGCCTTCCTGCCTTGATGTAGCTGTTTGATCATTACTTCTGCAGTCACTTATCTTTTTGGTGGATGACTTTACCTAATTTTCCTTCTTTTAATCCTGGCCTGTGAGAATGATAGGGATCCCATGGCCTAGGCGCATGACCGGCAAATACAAAGGTAAAAAGATGGGGGGCAAGGAATGATGTAAATGAAATACATTCTGTAGCCCCCTTTTGGCTGACGTGCAACTGAGGAAATCACTCTTCTCCTATGGCAGTTGGATCAAAAGTACAAAGTATAATTTAAAATCAACTTTATTAAGAATAAGAACAAAGGAAATGCAAACCTCGCTTTTTAACTTTATGTAGTAAAACATTCCATGACAAAAGAGATAAAAATAGAGGGCTGCTAAAAATAAAGACGGGAATCGCCCATAAAAAGCTGTCACAGCAGATATAACGTTGGGAGAGATCCAAGGTGTAAGGGCTGTGCTGCCGAAAGAGCCCAGGGTGTAATAACTGGGCTTGCACAGATACAGTAATCCTCAGAGACAGGACAGTAGTTATCGCAAAGATTGTAACGAGCACACACATTACAGTAAATCAAAGATCTAATCACAGATTCTTGGCAAAAACATTTACCTATACCTTAGAGACAAATTGAGTTCCTGAACTGAAGGATTATTCTTTGCTTCCCTGCAGTTCCCCAGTTGGAACATTTAATCAGGGTCTCAGGAGCATTCTTTCTTTTTAGCTCCTTTCTTCCGGCCCCACTAGGTTCCTCCTTTCTCCTTTTGTTTTCCCATTTCTACTTTCAATAAAGGCTTTTTTACCTGAAAAGTGAGCTACTAGGGGGAATCTTCTTGACTTGGTGAGCAAGAGTGTGCCACTCTCAGGAAGCTCCTGCTTGGAAGTGTGGTGGCTTAGCCACCTGGGTGACGGGGATATCCTCACACCAGCTAGACAGAGAGGGGTAATGGTACATTAAGAATATGGCCTTAGCTTGCCTCTCTTGGCGGTTCTAGCACTGCAGAATCTTCCCTGAAGCTTCAGGTTGGATCAAAATAGGAAGGTGCCATTTGTGCTGGCTGTTCCATATTGTGTGTGTGGGATTGGGACAAGTTTGGCTTGTAATCTAAAGGTCACTTGGCCTAAGGAGCTTGTTCAGTGGCTCCCTTCCTTTTCTGTCCAGACCATGCTGATCCTTGATGTAATCCCTTTTAATCTTGCAGGGAAAGTTAGTCCTGTGATCCAATGGGATGAGAGCAGAATGGTCCAGGCCTCTGTGAACAAGCCAGTTCGAATTGCATACATGCTTGTGGTTCATGGGCGAGCAATTCGCCAGTTGAAGCGCCTCATCAAGGCTGTGTATCACCAGCAGCATTTCTTTTACATACATGTGGACAAGGTATGTAAATTTTAAGAGGGGAGTGGGGAGATAAAATGAGCCAAGGGTCCACAGATCTCTTGACCATGCTATTCAGAACAGCTGTCTCTGCTTCTAGCCTCTGCTATACCAGATATGAAGATCTCATTTCCTGCTTATCTGTGTGGTATGCGGTATATAAGAAGAGGGGATATTTGCTTACTCATTTCCTCCCTACATGTACAGTCAGGATTCATTTATGAATAAAAGAATGATAGGATGAAGCAGACCTGATGGTTCTACTTTCTTCCGGAAAGACTGACACAAGATCCCTGTCCCAAGCCATCTGTCACCCACAAGGTGGGTTGGCACTAATATCCAGGGGCAAACTGATGTCCACTTTACCCCTTATGTCTTGTTGTAACTAGCCAAAATCCAGTCAAAGATTTTGGTCCTACCTACTTCATGGGTGTCCTGATGCACTGGCAATAACCCCTGAGGTCCTTGGAGACCCTTTTTAAAAAGGAAAACAGCACGGGCCCTGGGTCCAGAAGGAAAGCTTTCTTTTATACTGTATCCTGAAGAGGGGACTTGGGTCATTCCATTTCTTTTCCTATTCAGTATGTACAGTAGTTTAAAGCTACAACTTTCACTGTCCTCTGATGAGCCTTTAGGTCCCTGATGAGAGTTCGTAAAATTCCCCATTGGTAGGCAGTCCTTGTGCACCTGGATAAAGCCAGCTTTCAGGGTCAGTAGGGTGTTTTTCTTTCCTCCACACTCCAGCTACTTTGTTCCCTATATTGTCTTGAAACCCCCAGAATTCTGTTGCAAAAGTCAAAGCCTCATTCAGTGAACAAAACAACTTATTTGTGGGAGAATTCTGTTGCAAAGGTCAATAGAAAAAGGCTCATTCAGTGAACAAAATAACTTATTTGTGGGGTACTGGGCATTTTTATTTCAAGGCATCCCAAAGGAGGCTTTTAACGCTACCTTGTTCTTATTTATATGTTTATTTTTATACTGATTCCCCAGAGCTTTTCATTAGCCTTGCTGATTGGATCTCAAGTGAAAATGTAGGGGAATACAGTCGAGAGGAAACATTCTCTTCCCCTCTGTAAAGTTTTCTGCAAATGTGGATTTGGGGGAATGGAAGAATTTGCGGCCCTGATGGAAATCCACAAACACTAACTGGCCACTAAGCTCAGTCAGCATTGCTGGACCTCTGAGGATCAGAATAGAACTGAGAGCTCGTCATACAAGCAACACATTCAGAAGTACATCTGTTCTGGGCTGCAAGACATCAGGTTGTCTCCTTCACAGGAGAAAAAAAGATCCCTACACAGAGAAAACTAAAAGGTGGATGGGGATGGATGGGGGCCTATCATCTAGGTCAGTGTTTCTCAACCTCAGCAATTTTAAGATGGTGGACTCCAACTCCCAGAATTCCCTAGCCAGCATGCTGGCTGGG